GTTTAGGGATGGAGATGGGGGCCGCTGAGGGGTGGTGGGAGTTGGGGGATTAGGGTGGGTGAAATGCCCACATTCGGACAATCTGCCTTCGATTTCTGCAAGACATTTTCCGACACTCGCCTTCTGATTTCTACACGGTCTGTGCGATGGTGGTACCTTTTTCTCCATGTTTCCTCGAGCTGGCGCCGATTTGTCGTTGTTAGTGTATGGAGATTGCACATATTTACCGCCCCCTTCAACACTACAATTATTATGGGTATTTAAGAGACTCAACGTCCATCTCCTAAAGGACCGGGGTCTTCTTTAGGGCCAGGACAATTGTGGCTGGAGATTCTTAAAAACTCCCCACAATAACCCACGTTTAGAATACCCCATTTGGGGATTCGAACCAAGGCACCTGCTCTGTTGTCCAGCATGATAACATCAGGCTAACGATGTCGATTTGGTTCATGGCGATTAGTCCGCTCAGAACCGTATGGTTGTCTGGGACTTAACTCAGCTTCGCTTTAAGGGGAAATCAGTCTCGGGAAGACTCTAAATTTTGCCCCAGAAATTCTCGACTTTTTTCTTGCTTCATGGTCATAGCAAAAAGATCTTTAGCATTTCTGGCTTACATATTTCGTTTACCACTACAACAAAAGAACTTTAAGCCGTAAATGGCTTTCATTTTGACCTGGGCCGTGTTTCGTTGGTACATTGTTGGGGACGATCAATTATTACCCTTTGAACTATTAATTATTTTATGTAGATGTCACACGTTATTCGTGGCGTCGGTAGTCCTGTGGTTAGGATGGTGGACCCGTCATCGTGAGATTGCAGGTTCAGGTGTGGACGCCTCAGCTCGGCCTGACGTTTTGTCCTTGGGAAACGCACTTTACACGAATTTCTTATTTTTGACGTGGTCTTTATGGAGATGGGCGTTTAACTCTGAGGTCCCGCTAATAGTGTACACTGGAGCGTTAAATCATTTCTCCATTTTCCTCAAGTTATTCGAACCAATTAACTTTTTGATGAAAAACATTTGGTTGATAGCCAGACGTTCTGACCGGACCTGATCATGCACTTTCGATGAGTTGTATAGAGCGTACATACCTTTAGATTTGGTTCGTGCGGACGCCAGTTGTGCCTGGCCTGAATCAATGTCGCTTCCAAACGGTTGGATTGTTTGGGGGGATGATGGGGATTGTGGTTGGGGGAGGGGTTGGTGGAAGGAGATACTTCCTCGAATGGTTAAGGGGAGTGAATTTAGGAGGGTGGGGGAGATGGGGGTGAGGCTCCTCCTCCTCCTCCTCCTCCTCCTCCTCCTCCTCCTTATTCTTTAAGTAAGCGAATCTTCTTTTTGTTCTTCAGGCGAACGAACGTTTCAACTGTATTTAATTGCAATGACCCTAAGAAATACAGGAAAGTGCAAACAAAAGGATCTGCACAATTTCTATATTTTTAAGAAAATGACAGGCTGCCCATAATTTGAAAAATCGACAATAAAAACAAAGCCAGCTTCTATGGTATGAGGAAGACCTAAGTTTGACTTCTGTGGCGAGAATTCAGTTGTAATGTTTAGTGTTCCTTCTTTGTGTTGGAATGCTGTAGGGAAGAATAAGGACAACAGTGATAATATGATGATGATAATGGTACAACGACCATAGTAATAATGTTGATAACGATGATAGTAATAATGACGGCAATCGTAATGACGATGTTTAGAATGATGATATCGTGAGTCATGAGGGGGGAAAAAGAAATGCTATTAATAGTATTTTATGTATTTGTTTATATATGAATAATGTGTCTGTGTGCTTGTGTGTGTGGGGTGGGGGTGTTTTTGAGAGAGAG